AGAAAATAATCATTAAAAAATAAGCTCTATTATACATATGCTCGTTAGGCCTATCAATGGGCCGGGTATGGGCAGGAATGTAGTGTTCCAGACCCGGACTGGCTAAGTTAATAAAGGACTTAGACCCGACCCGTATATGGTATACCTAACGGCTCTGAAAATTTGGACCTGGACCCAATGGGTCTCGGATTTGGGTTGGGTAGACCCGCCTAGTACGATACACACAACATTATAAATTTTGTTAAAATAACAAGATATGTATATGGAATGTAAAACAAAATGCACAAACTTAATTAAAAGCAAAATATATCTTCACTTTTTAGAAAAAAAATCAAGGTTTCTCGTAGAAAGTTATTACTTTTATTCAATAAAGTATTGATTCTTGTAGAGGTGTATAACACTCTGTTTCTCTTTCTCTCACACAAAAAGCTCGTAGATTAGACTAGAAATTATGTCATAAAAAAGTCTCTTGAACTACTGAAAGTATAAAAGCATATTATATATGATAATGATATAATAATGTTAATAATAATAAATATTTGTTTTTGCCTATAGAGCCCAATACACACTTTATCATCATGTATAAATGGCCAAAATGGGTATTGGTTAGTTTTAAGGTATCTATCTCTCTTTCTTGATTAGTATCACTTACACAAGAGGTATGCATTAGTGTGTATCTTTTTTATTAAAGAATTACAAGTAATAACTTTATGTATTAGTATGTTATGTTTTATTTATTTATTAACTTTAGTATGAAAATACTAAAGTATTATAATTATAATACTTAAAATAATAAGAGTTTGAGAGTTTGTTTGCATCTCTCACAAGCAAAATTATCGTTATTCACATCAATTATATCTTACGCTGTGTTATTGTGTAATAATATTCACCTCAAATGTTATTCCTAACATTTATTTAAATGAAGATGAGCAAAAAATTATGTTTGACACTATCATGAAAGATGTCAATGACCAGAAAGGTGGGATCTACTTCATATATGGGTATGGAGGAACAGGAAAACCCATGTAATGGTGAACATTAGCTTCTGCTATTCGTTCAAAACGCCATATTGTTTTAACTATTGCATCAAGCGGCATTGTGTAAGAACATCACCATAAACAAATTTCGTAATGAAAAACATATGTATGGCGAACATTAGCTTCTGCTACTTGGTGGAAGAACAACTCACTCAAAATTGGTCATACTCGTTCTGGCAATTACAAACCAACTGCCTAGCCTGAAGGGACGCGTCTCTTCGCGTGTGGCAGTCGGTAACCGCCAATGCCGCGGCCTTCCGGTTTGCCCAAAGCACTAGTTCACCCGAAGCCTTCAACTGCCTTGCCACCGGTTCGCCCCAAGGCACCCGTTCGCCAAATGCCATGCTCCCTTCCAGACCTGAGCTATGCCGCACCGAACCGACAACACTAGAACACTCCACTTGCAATATTCATCGAGGAAGTGAACTTGCAGAGTTGATGAAACAAACAAGTTTGATAATATGGGATGAAGCAACCATGACTCATAGGTATTGTTTTGAGGCATTGGACAATAGCTTAAAAGACATCATGAATATTCAAGATGATTTAGAATATCACTTTGGAGGAAAAGTAATTGTCTTTGGAGGAGACTGTAGACAAACTTTACCAATAATACTAAGAGGAAGTCGTTCAGAAATTGTTAATGCATCGTATTTGTGGGATAATTGTCAGGTTTGTCATTCATTTCCATCAATCGCATCTTTTAAACCAAACTCATTTAAACCAACAATGTATACACATAAACTAGCACAAAATCTAATTCCTAATACTTTAGTATCATATTACAACAAACATTTACATTTGCATATTCTTTTGTGTTCAGGTATTATGTTTAACAAAAAATATGTGTCTTCATAGTAGTAAGGGTACTACAAATATTAAAGAGGCTCAAGACTTCTCAAAGTGGCTAGCTACTAGATGTAGGAGATGAGAAAATATCTGAACCACATAGGTTATGCGACCATACAAATCTCAAATGAATTCTTGATAACAGACTATGATGACCCAGTTCATGGCATTTTTGACAGTACATACCCTAACCTACTACAACAATTCAAAAATAAGGAATATCTAAAGTGTAGGGCAATTTTAGCATCGAAATTGTTGATCATATCAGGTATACCATCATATTATAAACTTATTTCTTTACTCCAACATAGATAATTGCATTCCCATTTTTTACTTGGTGTTCACACCATTTTTTATTTTAGGCAAAGAAAGAGAGTATTTGAGTTCCGAATCTATAGACAAATAAGATGTTGTTGATGCATATGCATTTGAAGCGCTGACACTTGAGTTTTTACATTCCCCGAGAACATCCAAACTTCCTAATCCATAGATAAAACTTAATAGAGGAACTCCAATCATGTTGTTAAGAAACATATATCACTCTGAGGAGTTGTGCAATGGGACAAGATTAATTGTCACACGATCAAGAAATCATGTTATTGGCGCAAAAACATTGTCTGCTAGCAACATTAGGAATGAGATTTATATTCCTTGCATGTGTATGTATCCTTCTCAATCATATGCCATGACTATCAACAAATCTCAAGAGCAATCACTAGCAAACGTTGGTGTATATTTGCCAATACCTATTTTTAGTCATGTGCAATTATATGTTGCTTTATCAAGGGTTCAAAGAAAAAAAGGGTCGAAGATCTTGATACACGAAAAGGCAAAAAAAAACATTAGATACCACCACAAATGTGGTGTTTAAGTCTTCCAAAACCTCTAACAGTGAACATTTATACAAACTACAAGTTGCTTCCTATTAGCTTTTACAAGCATCTCAACTTCAATTACGTTGTCTTCTAATTAATACACATAAATACATTATTTCATTGTTTCTTAAATACTTATGTTAATTTTGCTTGATACATATGGAAGTTTCTCTCACTTGTGCAGAATGTCAGGACCCACGAGTGCTACACTAGTAATATATAAAGTGAAAGATATTTCAATGTTCTACACTCTAATTCTTTGGGGGGGGGGGTAACCACCCAAACCATGACTACGAGAACAACATTGATATTTCGAGATTTAGAACCAAGTTGTACAATAATGTGTTTTCCAAACTAAAAAAAACTAATTGCAATCGAGCCATGCCTGCATCTTTAAGATGATTTATCATTTTCCAGAAAAATAATTACTACTATCTTTGTTCCATATTGGATGTCTTGTTTTAGTTTGACACAATTAGGCCTGAGCACGGATTTAAGATTTTCCATTGCGTACTGAAGAATCGTTTTGATTCGTTCCAGAACCGAAAGAGTACCGTACGTACCAGATCGGACCGACTTTTGTACATGATATGATACAATATCGGTTCTTCACAGTGAACTGTCACAGAATCATATCAAACAGCAGGGTTCCAAACCGTCCCGCAGAACTGGTTATTTTATATAGCATATATAATAGTTATCCTACTAAAGTACCATTGGTCCAACCTACTTTTATTTAGCCCAACCTATTTAGTATCTATATCGAATCTTACGAACAATTATTCAATTCATTATGATCAATATTCTCAATTATTCAAATTTATCTCAGTTTGTCTTTGAATATTATAGTCATATGATCGTTAATTTAACTATGATGAAATTCTTACTTTTACTCCATTAATGTTTCACTTTTTTTGGCAACCCATTAATGTTTCACTTTAGAAATTAAAAATAGAACTTTAAAAGTTAAGCGTCTCAATATATTGATTTAATGACCCGTATCGAACCATACTGAAAATTGGTACGACACGGGACATGCTCCATATATAGACAATAGTTGGAACACTACCGGTTCTTTAATTTTTAAAAGAGCCACATTTTGGGATGAGATAAGTTCATTAAAATAAAAGAAAACTATCAAATAAGTCCTCGAACTTTCATAAAAAGGTCAAATAAGTCCTTATATAGGAGGCTTTGTCCGGCGGTCGCGATTTGAGGCGGTTCCCGGTGGAATTTTTTGATGAATTTTTTTAGCATCTTATTCATCAAGTCTAGTTTACTCATACCAAATTTCATCTGAATCTTCAATCGGGAACACATTCAAATTAATTCTTGAAGATAACTGCGCATTTATTTTAAATGCGCATTTATTTTGAATGTGTTCCCGATTGAAGATTCAGATGAAATTTGGTATGAGTAAACTAGACTTGATGAATAAGATGCTAAAAAAATTCATCAAAAAATTCCACCGGGAACCGCCTCAAATCGCGACGGATGGACCGAGCCTCCTATATAAGGACTTATTTGACCTTTTTATGAAAGTTCGAGGACCTATTTGACAGTTTTCCCTTAAAATAATGATCCTCTGCCATCTTATACTCACTCCTAGACACAATTATCAATAGAATGATTGGAAAATAAAACTTATGGTTGAATTTTGGATAAAAATAAAGTAAAATAATATGGATGACGTATTTTTTTGCCTAAAAAGAAAACAAGAGATTCATTTTAGGACAATTTAAAAAGAAAATAAGAAAATCAAAATGAGATAAAAGATAAAAGATGTAAATTACTAGCCAAAAATGATTCAAAAATGCTATTGCTACCCCATATTGTACCAATCCCCTATGTTTGTGGCTCACAAATGCACTTCATTAAAATGGAGCAATTCATTTTATGTGTTAGGCTTTTTTGAGCCACACAAATAGAGTGTGGTACAAAATGAGGTACAAAATGGGGTACCTATAACAAAGTTGAAAATGATTATATTATGGATGTTTTTACTTGGATTGTAATTCGTCTCAGACCAGATCAGACTGGACCAGACCAGACTTGGATAGTTATAAAAATAGAAAGAAACCAGACCATACCAAATCAAATCAGACCAGACCACATTCTATAACCACCAATCCACCATACTAAAAAGAATTTCTAGCCAAAAAAGACTTGGTGTCAAAAAAAGCCAAAAATGACTATACTATGACCACATTATGGCATTACTACCAAGGATAATACGGAGTACATTTTATTATTAGGAACATTATACTCCGTAGCACCCTACAATACTGGTATTTCTTACGGATTACGGAGTAGTTCGGTATTATACGCGGAGTATTTACAATAATTTGCGCCAAACAACAGCCACAATTGAGTATAATTATAATTCCACCACCACCGCCAAAAGCAATATTGGTTATTCTCCAACCGTCCGATCCTTTAACCCAACCGCCGGAATCGATCCTGTATCGCCGTAGTTGCTACGTCGGTAAGTCATGCCGATCACTTTTCTAATCACTAATATGAGATATGCTATGCCTCCATCATTTGCTCCTCTTAATTAGTATTTCTCCTGCTATTTGTTTCTAACATTATTGTTGTGGTTTTTGGCTTCTTTGTTCACACGTGTTTTGTTTTTCATTGTTTTTCAAAACTCTTTCCGGGAATAGATTAGATCGCAATCACGCCCTCGTCCCTCTCGTTATCGCGTAAACCGTAGAAATTTACTCCTTTATTATAGCAGGAGCGCTATGAATGTGCAGGATGTTCTCAGCGGAGGTAAAACTTTAAAATTAATTTCATATAAGAATTTGGAAAAATTGATTTGCTTGACTGTTTCGAAGGCATTTTGGAAATGATTCAATAATGATCAAGCTATTTTGGATATGGAAGATTGCAAATTTAAAAAAAAATGTCGATGACCTACATTTTTTATTTTTTATGTTGGTAGCTAATGCTAATCTGGTATGGTGGCACGTTGAAGTTGGAGATGTAGTAGACATGCTTACATCATATTTTTGCTTTTGGGAGAGCATGTATTGTAAATGCGTCCATCTCTATTGGCCTTTTTAAGGATAACATCTTTAAACAAACTTGGAACATTAGTGAAAATAAGATATCATCTGTCCTACAGTTGATAAGATTGTTTGACGCTGTGGGCATTTGGAGTTAATGCAGCATTTTATATGTTCAAGCAGCATTTTACCAATATGAGCTAATATAAAACCATAATTCATATTGTATTGAATGTTGTGATGCATTGAGAACTCTGGCAAGGACTCTTGGTGTTTTTTTATTTTCCACCCTTATTATTCTCCGGAAGGGGAGCCTTGGCACACCGGTTATGGTGTTGTGTGGTTGAGAGGTCAAGGGTTAAAGACTTAAAGCTCTGGGAACGGCCTCTGGTAAAAAATGGCAAGGGAAGGCTTGCCCCCTGTTTCACCCTTGTGGTGGGACCCTTCCTCAGACCCTCGCCTTATGGGAATGCCATTGTGCACCGGGCTGCCCAGAACTGAGCTTTTGCGCTCACTTTGTTTATAATTTTATATAGATTTCCAAATCTAAAGCTATTCGTCATATTATCTATCTCTCGCAATCCAATGATTCTATTTTTTTTGTCTGACTCAAAACTGAAAACCTGTAATTAGTGTACCCCATTTTGTAACTTCTCTGCATTTTGTTACTAAGGTTTTATTTACTTTTATTGGACTAGTTCTTTATGAATGACCTTACTTGAATAGGACCTGTTCTATAATATTGTAACTTTGAATCCTTGAAATTTAAGAAAACTTGAAACTATGTTCCTTATAGAGCAGATCCTAAGGTTTCATCTTCTCTTTCTCTTGTTTTTTTTTCCTTTTGTCTTTATTTATATATATATATTCTTTTTATCTTTTTTATTCTATCATTTTTATGTATATCCATCTCTTTTTATATTATCTTTTTTTTTTTATCTTAGCTTATCTTTTATCTTTCTTATCTTTCTTTTCCTTTTGGTTATGATATCATGTATCGATTCATGGTAGCCGACCCCAAAATCTTGTGGGACTAAGGCTTGAATGTTGTTGTTGTTGTTGGACGAGTTCTTTATGAAAAAAACTTTGAGGTAGACTTGTAGAGTAACTTTTCTTGTAAGGGTCTCAGGTTGAAGGATTCCAGTGCAATTTAGCAAGGATATCAGAGTCATTAAATGTCTGAGCTTGAACTCAGCTGCTCAGAGGATCTCATAAATTGTACAACAACAACAACATTACCCGTGTCCAAAGGCTCCCACCTACGGTGGGGTAGGGGGTCAGATGTACGTAGTCTTATCCCTATACTAAAGCATAGTTTCTGGATGACCCATGAGTCTCATAAATTAATAGAAATGTAAAAATCATTGACAATAATACCATTTGAAAAAACATAAAGTAATAAAGTTTCCAACAATGAGGATTACAGAACTTTCTCTGTTCCCGAGAAAATGTGATTTAATACTCCCTCCGTCCCGCAAAATAGTTCCCGGTTTCCTTTATGGGCCGTCCCAAAAAATAGTTCTCATTTCCCCTTTTGGAATGTTTTGTGGGGCTCACGTTCATTTACCTTTTTCTTACACAACCACAATCTTACATTTCCACTTTATTCCCGCTTTCTTAAACTGCGATCCAAGTCAATGCGGGAACTATTTTACGGGATGGAGGGAGTATGGTTTAATTTTTTTAAAGATCTGACGGGTCTGGTCTGAAATTTCTGAATGTTTCTAATATTGTATACTTGTATAGTTATATCTTGTTCCTTCTGGCATAGGCTGGTCTGGAATGTGAATGTTTCTGTTAGAGTTTGAAAAAAATAAAAATAAGCAATAAGCCAAAAGGGGAGCATAACATTACCTAATTTAATATGCTTTAGCGTGGAACATATAATTTTGATATGGTATTAGAATGAGTAAAAGATCGAAGGTTGTTTGTTCCAGTCTGGCGTTCTCACTATCTTAGTCCCATTTTCATTCTCCCTCCATCTCTAGGTTTGTCTCATACCATATTTGGTAACATTTGTTTGAATCAAATTTATTCATTTTTTGCAAGTTTAATATCATTCACATAACTCCATTATTATTAAAGATTGTGCCACTTCTTCATGTCCCAAACATGGGATGGAAGTAGTACTAAAGATGCAACTGTTGTTTTACTTGTGGAGTAGAGACCAGGCACCATATGTATCACCTGCTAGTAATGTAAGATGCGACTAATTTATGGGTTAAGCACTAGCTATGGAAGCATAACTATAGTCTGGCTCTCACATTCAAGTCCTGTGTGAAGAGTATAAATCTTTCCTCAAAAGTTGGGGGGCGGCCATTGAGCAAGTTGAATCCATCTTTCTCGAGTTGACCTTAAATATCCAAAATCATGTCAAATTTTCTCGAGTAATGTAAGATGCGACTAATTTATGGGTTAAGCACTAGCTATGGAAGCATAACTATAGTCTGGCTCTCACATTCAAGTCCTGTGTGAAGAGTATAAATCTTTCCTCAAAAGTTGGGGGGCGGCCATTGAGCAAGTTGAATCCATCTTTCTCGAGTTGACCTTGAATATCCAAAATCATGTCAAATTTTTTCAATATTGTATAATTTGAGAAATGATATACTATCACCCTAAGTGATAAGTTATACTACCTTTGTTCGACTAATATCGTGACACGAGGATGTGGTGCGGTTATTAAGATATGTGAGTTTGTATGATTGATAATGAATTGATAAAGTAAAAATAAAGTAAGAATGATTTAAAACCACACAAATTTTACCGAATTGATATGTGACAATCTTAGTGGGACAGATCAAAAAGGAAATATGAGACAATCTTAGCAGGATGGAGGGAGGAGTAACTTACAGGCCTTTTCTTAATATATATGACTATATATTTTATCCTAGACATAGTTTTACCTCTCATTCTATGATTGTCCCATTTTACCTTTTCAGTCCGTCCCACTAAGATTGCCCCATACCAAATTTGGTAAAGTTTGTATGGCTCTAAATCATTCTTACTTTATTCTTACTTTATCAATTCAATATCAACCTAATAAACCACTTTTTATTAATTTGCGTGTCACTCCCTCGTGTCCCATTGTTAGGGGGGCAGAGGGAGTACAAGTCTAGTACTATTTAAAGATCAATAATAAATTTATTTTCATGAACTAATATGCCCTCTTGTTGAATTATTATAACCCCAATACTCTAATGTTATCTTCGCAGCCACCATCATCAATTCCTTCAATGTAGTCTTAATCTTCTCTACTAAACTCTTTTCCCGTCCCTCAACCTCCAATATCTATTCACAACTTCTCTTTCTCAATGATTCCATGTATGGTTGTTTCTCTCTCTATGTCCTCTATGGTGGAACTTTGATATGATTAGGAACCAACTTCCATGAATATCTCGGTGCCATATTTCTCACGTTTGACTGTTACATTGATGATTTCATCTTCTTTTCCTTCCTTTTTTGGTTACGGCTTTGCGTTGTGAATGTGGGAGAAGCAGTGGCAAATAGTTAATACAAGATGCAATGGATATTATTGAGTTTTGTTAATAAAGGAAATGAGGTTTGTGAGGATTGTATGTGGAGTGAATTTAGGGGTGTGTGAAGATGGAATGTGTGATTAAGGTTGTTAGTCATTTGGGGAGATCGTGGGCACTAAATATGGATATGTTATTGTGGGCATTGAGTGACAATGAGGGAAAATAGGTCAAAGGTGGTGCCGCGGTGGGGACGATGGTGTGTAGTAATGGTGGTCAGTGACGCATGACATACTGGACGCATGACAGACATACTGGATACTGAGTTGGAGAATGGGACACCGAAATGCAACGAAGTGCAGGGAGTGGCATTGGTGGTGGCGGTAGTATGTAGTGGGGGCAATGGAGGTGAGTGGTATAAAGACAGTGTAAGCAATGGAGGGAAAGAAGGTGATGCAAGCGGTATGGATTTTTTTCTCAAGTCATGTTCGATCATCAGGGATTCATCACAAGTTAGCCAACTATCGAGAGATTAAGCTTATGAGTCTTTGAGGGCGAGTGATTGAGCAAAGACTTTGAATAGGTGTGAAGGTTGGAAGAATCAATTTGATTTTATGCCTAGTCGCTCAACTGAGATCATTCACCTTCTTATGCAACTTGTGCAGAAGTACAAAGACACAAGTAAGAGTCTACATCTGATGTTCATTGATTTAATAAAGGCATTTGATAGGGTACCTCGGCAAGTTTTGGTGGGCCTAAGCCAGAAAAGGCATATCATGTAAGTATACCAACATCATCATGGATATGTATGGGGATTGTGCTATAAGTGTCCCTACTAGTGTAGGGGGAACTTCAAAGTTCCCTATTACTATTGGAGTGCGCCAAGGGTCGGCTCTTAGTCATTTCATATTTGTTATAGTCATGGATGAACTCACTAAGTCGATTCAAGAAGATATACTTATAATATTATGTTGATTGATGAAACAAGATCAGATGTTAAA